AGGGGGAAGAAAGAAACAGGGAGGGGAGGGGGGAAGAAAGAAACTGACAGGGGAGGGGGGAGAAAGAAACTAACAGGGAGGTGGGGGGGAAAGAAACTAACGGGGGGAGACATTGACAGGGAGGGGAATTGACGGGGAGAGAGAAATTGACAGGGAGGGGGGAGTGACAGGGGAGGGAGGGGGAATGAGAGTAACAAGGGAGGAGGGGAGAAGAGAGTGACAAGGGAGGGGGGAGAGATTGACATCCATCACACACACACACACAATCACACACAATGCACCCCTTACACACAAAGACAATGAACCCCTTGCACACAGAAAAACACACAATGCATTACACACACACACGCAATGCAACCCTTACACACAATGCATCCCTTGCACACAAAGAAACACACAATGCATTCCTTACACACACTCAATGCACCCCTTACAGACTCACACACTTCATCCCTTACATACACAGAAACACACCTTGCAGCCCTTACACATACAAACACAGATTCACAAAATGCATTCCTTACACACAAATCAGGACATTCCCTACACACTCCATCCCCTGTGAACAAACTCATTGGTGGAAAATGAAGGTGGACCCTGGGACTCAGACCTTGAGCTGTGTAAAGGGCCCCCAAAAAATGGAGCTGCTTCTCGTTCTCCCAGAACATTGATTTGTGTGACCACAGTTACAAACAGCCTCCAGAGATCCTGTTATACACCAGACCAGTGGAGCCAGACTGCAACTAGAGCCCATCATCATCCTCATCTGCTTGTAAGTAGGTAATCTAGTATATTATTCGTGGCACTAATCTCTAATTTACCTCACATTAAAGAAACACTATAGTCCCCAGAACCACTACAGCTTAATGTAGTGGTCCTGGTGTCTATAGCCTGTCCCTGCAGGCCTTTTAATGTAAACACAGCGGCACTGCAGCACTAGCGTTAGTTAACATGGCAGGTCATATGGGTGGGGCATTGCGATGTCACGGGGGGGAGGAGGGGGGCGTCAAACTTTACTTTTGCCTAGGGCGGCAAAAATCCTTGCACCGGCCCTGTATGTTGTGTTAGTGTATGCAGTGTGTGTGTGTCAGGGTAGTGTATGCTGTGTATGTTGTTTTAGTGTATGCAGTATGTGTGTCAGGGTATGCAGTGTGTGTTGTGTTAGTGTATGCAGTGTGTGTGTCAGGGTAGTGTATGCAGTGTGTGTGTTGTGTTAGTGTATGCAGTGTGTGTGTCAGGGTAGTGTATGCAGTGTGTGTGTTGTATTAGTGTATGCAGTGTGTGTGTTGTGTTAGTGTATGCAGTGTGTGTGTCAGGATAGTGTATGCAGTGTGTGTGCTGTGTTAGTGTATGCAGTGTGTGTGTTGTATTAGTGTATGCAGTGTGTGTTGTGTTAGTGTATGCAGTGTGTGTGTTGTGTTAGTGTATGCAGTGTGTGTGTAAATGTGCAATCTGGGGGTGGGGGGGTAGGAAGGGGCATTTTCACATTATTTTTTAAATTTTATATTAAATTAATTAAATGTTTCTCCCCCCTCCCTGCTTCTTACCTGTGTCCAGGGAGGGGGGAGATTCCATCCCTGGTGGTCCGGTGGCATGGTGGAGCCCCCGGCTCCCGGGGTGGAGCCCCCAGCTCCCATCATGGTTGTCACCCCCTGATGGCGGCCCTGCTCTCAGATATGAAGTGTACCCCACTAATGTACTACCCCACTAATGTACTATTTCGCCCCCCAAAAAATTAACTTTTTAAAACTCCGCTGTAACCGCAGTATTTGAAGCTTCTATTTGACTCTCAGATATGAAGTGCACCCCACCCCACTAATGTACTAGTTTGCAGAATTCTTTCCTAAGCTGTCCACTCCCTATACTAATAAGACCGCATGTGCGTGCGGCGATACGCAACTCCATCTTATATATAGAGGCTGGGTCACATGCTGCACTGGCCAATCACAGCCATGCCATTAGTAGGCATGGCTGTGATGGCTTCTAAGGGCACACGAGTCAAACGCTTGTTGATTGACTGCCCTGCAGCCTTTGAAAATGCGCCATTAAATCGCCGAACACCGAACTCCAACCCGAACATACAGTGATATGTCCGTGTTCCGGTCCGGGGTCCAAAAACCCTAATGTTCAGTACGAACCCGAACTTTGCAGTTTGGGTTCGCTCAACTCTATTATGGATCCTTTGATCGCTCCATCTGTTACTTGGATAACTGTGGTAATTCTCGAGCTAATACATGCCGACGAGCGCTAGGGGACGGCCGCACTGCTTTTGCACCCTGCTCCCTCTTATCCAGGCAACAGTTTTTCCTATAAGCTGACCTCTCAGTCTGACTTGAGAGGGTATTGCCCCCGAATTTCAAAATTGTTATATTGGTATTTGACGGTTTTATTTGACTGTCAGATATGAAGTGCAGGCCGCAAATGTACTTTTTAGCACCTAAAGAATTAGAATTTTTACAACTGCAATGTAAGCACAATATTTGACGGTTCTTTTTGACTCTCAGATATGAAGTGCACCGCAGGCCGCAAATGTACGATTTAGCAGCAAAAAAAATTGAATGTTTAAAATTGCTATGTCACAGCATTATTTGACGGTTCTATTTGACTCTCAGATATGAAGAGCCAAATTTACTATTTAGCAGATTATAACCCAGAAAATAAGAATGTTTGCAATTGCGCTGTAACCGCAGTATTTGAAGCTTCTATTTGACTCTCAGATATGAAGTGCACCCGATTTAATGCCGCGTTTGGAAAGGCTGCAGGGCAGCCAATCAACAAGTGTTTGACTCGTGTGCCCTTAGAAGCCATCACAGCCATGCCTACTAATGGTATGGCTGTGATTGGCCAGTGCAGCATGTGAGCCATAGACATAGTATACATAGACGCCGCATTGACTGCGGAGCGGTGAGAAATACAGACAGATACATAGAAACATAGAAACATAGAATGTGACGGCAGATAAGAACCATTCGGCCCATCTAGTCTGCCCAATAAAATTTCTAGTTGTGTCTAAGAATTCCTCTTGAATCGTGCATGTTGTTTTTTTTCAAATATGGAAGTATGCAAATAACGAAATGGAGATGGACAGAGATATCAACTGTCACACAGGGATAATGAGAATGGCAGTACTCAGTTAGTGCAGAGCAGGGATAATGGGAATGGTAGTACTCAGTCAGTGCAGGGATAATGAGAATGGCAGTACTCAGTTAGTGCAGAGCAGGGATAATGAGAATGGTAGTACTCAGTGCAGAGCAGGGATAATGAGAATGGTAGTACTTAGTCAGGGCAGGGATAATGGGAATGGTAGTACTCAGTTAGTGCAGAGCAGGGATAATGAGAATGGTACTTCTCAGTCAGTGCAGGGAAAATGAGAATGGTAGTACTCAGTTAGTGCAGAGCAGGGATAATGGGAATGGTAGTACTCAGTTAGTGCAGAACAGGGATAATGGGAATGGCAGTACTCAGTCAGTGCAAGGATAATGGGAATGGCAGTACTCAGTGCAGGGCAGGAATAATGGGAATGGTAATACTCAGTTAGTGCAGGGATAAAAGGAATGGTAGTACTGTCAGTGCAGGGATAATGGGAATGGTAGTACTCAGTCAGGGCAGGGATAATGGGAATGGCAGTACTCAGTTAGTGCAGGGCAGGAATAATGGGAATGGTAATACTCAGTTAGTGCATTCAAACACCATTACTACACACACACCCCTGCATTCAAACACCATTACTACACACACCCCTGCATTCAAACACCATTACTACACACACTAATGCATTCAAACTCCATTACTACACACACCAATGCATTCAAACACCATTACTACACACACCCCTGCATTCAAACTCCATTACTACACACACACCCCTGCATTCAAACACCATTACTACACACACCCCTGCATTCAAACACCATTACTACACACACCCCTGCATTCAAACTCCATTACTACACACACCCCTGCATTCAACCTCCATTACTCCATTACTACACACACCAATGCATTCAAACACCATTACTACACACACACCCCTGCATTCAAACTCCATTAATACACACACCCTGTTGTACCTAATCATTAAATTCATGAAGCACCAATATCCAAAAAGTAATAATCAATACCTAATAAGGTTTGTAGTGATATTGGCGGGCACACAACCCAGTTCGGATAAAGTACATTGAGTTATAGGAAAAAGAAATCACACAGAGACCAAGCTGAATATAAGAATTCACACTACACTTTATTATCCACAAAGGGATCTAAGCAAAGTAAGTTTTACTCTCATTTAAGTGGTTGCATGCATTTACTGCAAACAGCTTAGTATCTAGATATATCAGCTTAGTATACATCACCATTAGAGAAGCTTGGTTGTCTCCTTGCCACACATGACTGGGGGGGAACCCTCTCTTCCAGGAACAGCAGAAACCAGTAACACGCGTCCGCATTACAGGTGGGTAGTTCTCCAAGGGAGCGCAAGATTCCCGTAGTCTTATATACCTGTCTTCAAGGACAGTCAGTAGTTCCTTATCAGTGCAGCCCATCAAAAGACCTTGATACAAGCAACTGTTCAGGACCACCAGAACTCATGCCAAGTCTTGTGCGGTTAATTATCTCTTATCTACAAGCTTTCTTTGTACTGTTCCAGAGATGGCAACATAAGTTTTTGATGGCAACATAAGTTTCTCAAACTGCTGAAGTGCTGTGTCAGCTTATAGTGCTGTGTCAGCGTAGTAAACAGCTGTAGTGCTGTGTCAGCTTTTAATAGCTGTGGCATAAAGCCTTCAAGCCTGCATCTAGTAATTGTGGCCTTCAAGCCTGCATCTAGTAATATGTGCTATGTGTGCTTATATGCTTACCGGTGCCATCTTAACTATCTATAAATGTTTGAGTTGCTCAATAGTGATCAATCATACTTAATTAATATGAAATATTATAACACACCCCTGCATTCAAACTCCATTACTACGCACACCAATGCATTCAAACTCCATTACTACGCACACCAATGCATTCAAACGCCATTACTGCACCCCTGCATTCAAACTCCATTACTACACACACACCCCTGCATTCAAACGCCATTACTACACCCCTGCATTCAAACGCCATTACTACACACACGCCCCTGCATTCAAACGCCATTACTACACACCCCCTGCATTCAAACATCATTAGTACACACACCAATGCATTCCAATGCCATTACTACACACACCCCTGCATTCAAACACCATTACTACACACACCCCCTGCATTCAAACACCATTACTACACACACACCCCTCCTTTCAAACACCATTACTACACACACACCCATGCATTCAAACTCCATTTCTACACACACACCCATGCATTCAAACTCCATTTCTACACACACCCCTTCTTTCAAACACCATTACTACACACACACCCATGCATTCAAACTCCATTTCTACACACACACCCCAGCATTCAAACTTCATTACTACAAACACATTGATGTGTTCTAATGCATTGAAATGCATAGACTAGACAAACACACAATTGTATTCAAACACTAATACTACATATGAATACAGCACTGCATTCAAATGGAAGCAGTACACACTAACACACCCCTGCATTCACACATACGGAATGATGTCCGTAAGCAGTTGAATGAGAACATGTGTAGGAAATGGGGTAAAATGGAGAGAATTCAAAAAGGGAACAAGTTAAGCAGCTCACTGTACTGGTCCCTGTACTGTATGTTCCCTAAAATGTCCAGATGTCATTACTTGATTTCATAAAACCATTTACAAACAGCTTTCTATAAACCGTGAATCTTCTCATTTTATATTTACTCTTTCATCATACCTGGAAAAT